ATTTTAGTGAACAGTTCAATTGGTCTAGTGCTCATGCGGTCATTCCAGCTATTTCGGCGGAAACCCCATGAGTGGGAACATGTGAGCCCCCTCAGAATTGGAAGTACGAAGCTGCATCCAATCATTAAAGAGAGGGAGTCCTGCGGGACCTGATGGGCTTCTTCCTGTTCTTTTCAAGGTGGGCGGTGATTCTCTGGTCGATCCGATTACTATCTAACTTCGCAGCATTAGGTCAGAGGAGCGTAGCCCTCTGTCCTGGGGTGAATCGTTGAGCGTCCCGATCTTCCAAAAGGGATCCCGCAATGACTGTGCAAACCACCGCAGGATTAGTTTAGTTTTAATAATCACAGAAGTATTGACTTCTGTGATAATTCGCGGCCTGACACCCTTAGGGGAGAGGGATATCCGCGAACAATAAGCCGGATTTCGACTAGAGCGCGGGTGCACCGATCAAATCTTCACTCTGCGTCAAGTACTCGAACTTCGTCACACACATCGTCGGTCAACAATCGCAGTGTTCCTTGACCTAAAAGGAGGCTTTGATTGAGTTGACCGTGAAGCTCATGAGTACGCCCATGGGTAATTGAATTCGGGTACTAATGGTTATCTACAATACTTTGTTTACCCAGCCAGGACGGCACGTCTGAACAGATAGCTGACGCAATGGGGGGATGCGGGCGAAATCACCACATGATCGGTTAATCCAAAGTCACTGGTAATTTATGGATTCATCGGAAAAACAACTACCTGACTGGACAGTGACCAGTCCAAGCAAAACTATAACAAACCCAAGATCAGTTGGTTCGATCTCGACAAAATACCTTTGTCTTTTAGCCATGGATCTGTCAATCCATCACCATGCTCTGACCACATTCGCTCCCTCGTTGCTGAGGCTAAAGTGTCTTCCGTTGTGAGTGTACGTGACAGGCCAGCTGTAACATGTTTTCGCAATCCTTCCATTTATTTAAGAATACCCGGTAGTACATGCACATTTTAGTCTGATGACATACGATCCCACGAAGAAAGTATCGGCAGACAGTTGAGGTTCGTTCTTTCGGTTGATCAGGCAACCCAGAGCAGTATATTCTACCCAAACATGGGATAAAATAAATTAGGCGTAAAAATCATTATGAGGCGTTCCGTCATGAAGCTTTTGTCGTTTTACTGTCCTATCCCGTCAATAAATACTGTCAGTATTATTGATAGTAGGTTTTCATATATTCAGAGCGCTCTACTGTACGCAAATAGGTAATAATCCGAGGGAACAAAATCAATCTTGTCGGCAATCTTGCACGCATGTTGCACCCCGACCATAGGTCTGAAGAAAACAAATGTCATACATGTGAAGGCAAATCGTAATGTTCCGCAGTTAGCAGGGTGAGCATGCAGTCCCGCTCTGGGACGATCCGGTTTGTTGGTGTAATATTGGTAGTAGTATTCTTATCATATGTCGTTGCATGTATTGAGGTTGTCGTGTCATTGTATTTGTCCTCAAATAGACAAAACATTGGGACAGGAAAGGAGCAATCGGGAGGAGCAAGTGAACGAGAGTCGGTTGGACGTGCAAGGACGATTCAAATGCGGGAAACAGGGGTTGGCGAGGTGAGAAACTAGGACAAAATTCCCGAACAACGAAGAAAAAGAGTGAAAGTAAACAATTCAGGCTGAGTTGGAACAATCTGGAAACTGAGAAGGGATTATAGTGTTGGTGAGAATGGGTGGGAGGAGAGAAGAACATGATTCATTCAATGTTCTTAAGTAGAATAAGGATCGGACATTTTTATAAATTGATTTCAACAACGCACAGGCGTTACAGAGTCCAATGTATGTGAGCCAAAATTAAGGAGTGTATTTGGACCAAGGGAAGAGGAAAAAGTATGTATATGCATGTTTGTATGTATATATGTATATATATGCATATGTATGTATTATGTCAGTACTGTCATATACATGCAGGTATAAGGGTTTCTCAGGCACAAAATTTTCTGTTGAGAATGGAACAAAGTAAGTACAGCTCGTAGTCACCGAGCGGCAGTGAGTTAAACTGCTAAGAAAGATATGGAAACGGAGCAGGCGGTCCGAAAAACCAGAATGAATTCCGGTGAGCATTTGTCGATCAAAGGTAGACAGCCCCATTCTTACAGACGCGCACTGAAAAGAGACACAATATTGTATGAAAAAGAGACGCCTCCAGGGTCAAACTTCACTCAAGCATCAAGGAGCAGAGAGTGAGACGGGGAAGAAATGAATTACCGTGCTGGTCACATGACGTTTTGGTCAAGTAAAACCATCCTACGTAATCCATCTCTTGAAAGGATAGAATTACTGAATAAGGAAGAAAAAAGGTATGAATGATGCTTTGCTCTATCCAGAAAGGGAAATATAGGGCAGAAGGAGGAAGGGATGAGAAAAAGTCAATCAACGCGCCATATCTGTTACTTGGTCAAACTCCTGAATTATGATGTCATTAGGGATGATGCATTGAGTACTTGCTTCTAAGAGTCAGTAAAGTTTAACCAAAGATAATGGAACAAGGTTAGAAAGGTGAAAGATGACATATTGATACAGGGATTATAAGTAGCACTTGCATGAGCGAAGGAAGGGAAATGAGAAGAAAAACCCAGAGTGTAAAATAAATCACAAGTAAGGCCGAAGGAAAACAGAGAGGGAGGGAGAGATAGTAGAGAAATGGAAGTGATGGATTGTAGTAGTATTTCTACAAGAGAATCAAAAAACCGAAGGAAGCGGGGTACCGACAGAGAGGTAAAAAGGAGGAAATATTTGGATTTCGGACGTTCGTGTAGTCGACGGCGGACTATGTTTGAATCTAAACAAGTTAGAACAATGCACAGCAATAAACGTACAGATGAACAGAGCCTTGAGCACCTTTGGGGATCTAAAGCCCAGTTTGCACGCAAAGCAATGCCGCATCAGATTGTGGTCTGTCTGCAACAAGTAGTGCACACGAATACATAGATGCGTTTAGTATAATGATGGCAGCAACGATGGTCCAATGTTCATGAAGATGCAATTGGTTGACTGGGACCGGTGGAGAGTGTGGACTGTTTGGAGGAAACGAGCACAATCCCGGGTGTGAATAAAAATAGTCTCAGTGCAAACAAATCCGGCCGTGTTTACTTTTCCAAGAGACAGACAACACAAAATTGTCTGGTTCGTTGGCCTCTGGATCCAACTAAACTCGGCAAATAATCCGCCACCCTCTTGTTTCGGTCCACGGTAGGCATCCGAATGAATGAATCTAATGCAAGTGCGTGAGGAAAGACAACGCGGTGGGAGAACCAGCATGCTCAGTGGGCAACTGGGAGAATATATTCAAACAGAGTCTGGCACGTCCGTTCGCTTGAGTACCTGTGTATGCCGTGAGGGAGAAGTGTGCGTACAAACACAAAGACCTACACATGGCTACTCACACCAAAGTAGGTCGACTTCAGGGTCGTTAGAAACATGAATAAGAGGAGGAAGTGGATAAAACGAAATTGATCAAACTGCCTTCGGGTTAGTCAAGGAATATGTGACCAATGAAATCGATGGAGGAAAAGTTGAGGTGTGTAAAAGAATGAAGTCAACGTACTCGTCAGTATCACTATCATCAAAGCATCATCCTTAAATAGAGTCATCCGGTGTGAGTCTCAGTTGAGGCAAGATTGCGGTATTTGACAGTTCCAAAGTGGAAACTGCACGCATATAGTGTCGGAGTGGTGAGCAAAGTACAGATGTACCACACTGGAGTGGGAGGAAGAATCACTCATGCTAATTTAGCATTCTTGGTTGACAGCCTCATGACCGTGAACACAAAGAAGCAATAAACACTGGAAGAGAAAAAAATAACGCTACCGGATGCGACAGAATAAGAGATGGCAGAGAGAACGGTTAGAGTGTATGGATACCTGTATTACTAGTGGGTTTTGATGCGAAACGCGGTGGAGTGGAAAGGAAGAATGGGAAATAGCAACACTTGGTGGCAGCATCAGCAATATGCAATAGGACTTCGGCTGTAGCAACAGTGGATCGTAACGCCAGTACGACAATGATAGCGGTTCCGCTTGACATTTTGCGCAGACTGGAAGCCAATTTCCTAATGATTTATACTAGATTCATGCTAGAGTTCGCGGCGGTCAAAACTAACAACTCATACTGCCAGAACCAGAGAAAGAGAGAGGGTTGAACAAGAAAATCAGCTAGAGATCCAAGAAAAGTCAGATTTAGTTTAATGCAAACTCCAAAACCCGGAAATAAACGGGCAGAGTGGAAAAGAGTACAGACCAGCGATCAGTCAGTTATCAGCCTACTATTTGCCAAAAAAGGCCACGGTGAAGCGCATGGGTGTGAAACGGAATGGGGAAAGGGGAGAACGACGGGCCAGGGCACAGCAATGTAAGCACTCAGACGTCCGGAGCATCGGCATCCGCAAATTCGATATTCGCGTTTTGGCTATGTCGAAGCACTAACGAGCTGATACTCTTTCTCTGTTCCGGATCGATACGAGGACCCAGTCCCATACGGAAAGCGTCAACCACTTTCATCTGCACGGATGAAACGTTGAGAACAGAGGTGTGGGGAGGGGTATGTTGCAGGAGGAGTGGAGTTGTAATAAGGGCGAAAAGAAAATAAACAGATGAAATAAACTGTTGCGAAAATTATATTTTTGTTGTTGAATATTTCTAAATAAAATATTATGGAGAAGTGCATTCGTGAGAATCCCAATTCACCGGATAATCTGTGAGCTACGCAACTGTGAATCCATCGGAACTCTGACCAACTGATGAAATAAAGACGGTGTAGCTGAAAAAATCAGCTCGGATTGAAAAATACGCATAAAACATGAATCGCATATTACCTAGCGGGTACCAAAACAAAGTTAGCCAAAAATATTTATCTATTCGCAAATACAACTAATCAGAGCACATAGCGATTTCGGGCAAATCAAAATGTAATATTATGTTTGATAATCACATTCTGTCCTAGCACTGATGTGTATTCGAAGGAGCTGATTATATCCAGATAAACGAAACAGCCGACGTTTTTAATAGGTCAGGCGAAATATCAAAGAAATTCCAGAAATTCCGCTACTCTAGGAAAAAGTACATGGTATTCCATCTGGATTAAACGTGAAAACAGCAAACCAACTAAGAAAAAGGCTATTTCCTTACAGCAGGCAGAGACGGAGGCATAGATATGGATGGTGACTGGGCATACGGCAGCTCAGCAAAACACGGGATACCAGTGGTTTCTGCCATCGCACAGCGGAAATTCCATCAAGCAGATAATGCTCGACAATATCTGTAGTAGAAATAGTACAGTACGAACGCAGTGCGCCGGACCTGTAGTCCGTGTGGTCTGTACCAGTGTTGATAATTAGGGTGCAAGGCTGATAACTGTGTGCACTGCAGCTGGAGCATTTAAGGTTGGATTTACTTATTTGATCAAGAAGAGCATATTTGGAAAATTGACTGTTGCGAACAAGAGAGTGAGGATTATCACGACACTAAAATTGATCCT